CAGAACGGAAAACCACAGAGTATCTTAACTAACAACAAAAATTAGAATATTGTCAAGAGTCATGAAAAGAGCCCCAAATTCTCAGACAGGCCTGATGAATCAGCTGTCGCAGTGTGTGTCAGCTTTATGGATTCAATGAACATAAGGATCTATATTTTGTTTTCCTGTGTTTCTTTTTCTTTTGGGTGGGTCTGTGAGCAAGTCTACACGGCCTCCTCCTCTGGGTAAGACGGCTTTGGTAGCAACTGCTGATAAGACAGCAGAGTGAGTGCAGCAGCCTTGCGGGAACAGAATACCCAAAACTGCCTGTTCTGAGAACTCTTCCTGAAGCACACTGCCATGCCACAACGGCAGCTTTGCTCCTGAATTAACTCAACAAACCTCAGGCTTTTACTGTCACGAATAAAAGTGCTCTGTCTCACGTGCCTCTCTATTTCACCTTAATTCTGACAAAGGAAGTCCTTTGAGAAGGAAGGAGCATGTCTGCTTGGTCTGAATGGGAGGGCATGGGTGACAGGCTCTGTGCATGTTCTGAAATTTGTCTGACACTGAAGTTGAAAGCTTCCCCTGGCAGTTAAAAAATTATACTCCTTAACTGTGAAGAGAAAGAAAATAATGAAGATATTTTCCCTGGGGAAAGTGGAGGTCGATGGAGGATTACAGAGAACACATCTGAGGAGCAGACAGGATGGGCCAGGAGTGTATTTTGTGTACACAACTGCACAGATATGCAGAAACAAAGTGTCCTGGTTGTAGCTGGGACAGAGTTGGCTCTTCTTCTTAGCAGCCAGAAGAGCTCCGTGTTTTGGTTTTACTCAGAGAAGTAAATGATTCTGAGAAGAATGTTGATAGCAAGCTGATGTTTGTAGTTGACCAGGGACTTTTCAGTGTGCCATGTCCTGGCCGGAGTGCAGAAGCACGGCGGGATAAGGGGGGAGCATAGCTGGGACAGGGGGGACACGATTCCCCTTGTGATTTGTGGTGGAACTTAAGATTGAGGCCAAACTGGCCAATCAGTATTCCATATCATGCAGCGTCATGCCCAGTATAACAGTGAGGGGCAGCCGGACAGAAGGGCTTTTGCGCTTTGGCTCTTTCGCCGCTTTTGCTCTTTCGCGCTTGCTGCGCTTTTGCTCTATTGTTTTTCTTTCTTTTTCTCTCTCTCCCAGCACTCCCACTCTCGGAGCACTCTCTCTCTCTCTCTCTCTCTGCCCCTCTCTATTTCGGGGCCTCGCGTTCGTCCGGGATTGCAGCTTTGGGACGAGACGGGCTTCGCATACGAGGGGGTGGTGAGCATCTACACTGTGTATTAAATCATCTGTATTAAATTGTTCTTATCTCAACCCACGGGTTTCCCGTTTATCCTTTAATTCTCTCCCTCATGCCTGGGGCTGGGGGAGGGTGAGTGAACAACTCTGTGGGCGGGTTTGGTTGCCGGAGTGGCCTAACCCACGACACAAAGGAAGATATCTGCATATACACATACGCATTATTGAGCAAACCACCCATGTTCACAAGAAAAAGCAGCAGCTTGTTTTGATTCAGCATAGAACTGGGGATTTTTGTTAGAACAGAGTGATCCTGGTCCCAACTGAAACGAGAGCTTTCATGCAGAAGTTTTTCTCGTGTTGGTTTTGCTCCGATAAAAACCATCCACCCTCATCACAAGCTGTTCCTCACAAGCAGTCCTCTCCTTACCTGGTCTCTCTTTGATCTTTCTTCAAGTATATGGTAAAACAATAAACAATATCAGGAGTATAGCCAATATAATCTAATCAAGGACGTATATTCTTCTTGGTTAAAGGACGGTGGACCTGGCTGAGGAACAAGTATACAGTTGTGTCCTGAGTTGAACCAATACCTTAAAAGGAACAAATGAGGAAGGGGATGCTGCCCAAAAGACCCTCATAAGACCACCAGGAACCACCAGCAGAACTGGCGCAAGCACAGTAAGTTCTCATTCAAAGCCAAGAAGAATGACCTAACATAGTGACGTAATCTGTTACATACGTATCAGGTAGGCTGGATTTTGTGTAAAACTCTTGTACAAATATTGCAACTTCTCTCCTGCTCGGTGTGCTTGATCTGTGGAAAACCCACCGAGCACTCAGGCCTAAAAAATACAACATCTCTCCCGAACATGTGGACCTGGTTCATCACACACCCGGCACGAATCTGCTTTTTGGACAACAGCTCTAGCTCAGCTACAGCAGCTTCCAGCTGAAGTTCCAAACATTCCCATCTGCAAAAACAGAACTCCAAAGAGTTTTGGCTCCTGCAAGTTCTTCCTTCCCACCCCAACCCTGCTCCCGTTCAGTTTGCTGTCAGAGTTTCACAAACCATTAGTCAGGCTTCTCTCAGGCATCTGTCTCACTACCCTTGGGTCACGTGCTTGAAATCCTTTCTTGCTATCTGTCCTAGTTTAGCTGCGACAGGGATTTAGAGCAGCGCCTTTCTCTTCTTTACACAGGAGGAAGCCCCCAGCTCTGATCACAGTCAGCCCACAGCAGGGAGACAGCCCTCAAAAACACCAGAGACTCAACGTCTACCTCAGATCCAGACAAAGGGTTAGGTGATGAACACCTACTCCTACCAGCTGCAGTTATGCTAAGGATGCTGTTTTTTCTCTCTTCTTGGCAGGCAAGATCCATGAAGACGATCATAGCCTAACAGACATTTTTTACAAGTGGTGGTGTCAGCACCAGGAAAAATGACGAGCTGATATCTGGATTGCCAACAGAACACATGATCACTCTGGGAGGATCAATCAGCCTTTTTGTTCCTCCGTGTTGCTCCCACCAATGGTTTCGTTTCGGTCAGGTCTCAGTCTGAAGTAGATCCGTTATCAGCAATTTTTCTGTCCATAGGAACGTGTCAGTAAAACAAAGAGTGTGCAGACAGCAGAACAGTGAAAAATGCAGCATCCCCTTCCCACCTCAAGGACCTTAACAGCACTGCGATATCTCTGTGCAAATGACACATACCCTTCCAGTACTTGGCACTCCTGACAGCAGGACAGGCTAGACAGGGAGTTGGCGTTTGACATGACGCATCATCAATTCCGCCTTCAGCTTTCTCTTCCTGTGAGCCAGCTCAGAGGGACATCATTGTTGCCACAGGTGTTGGTTTTCTCCAGCACATCTCAGAAGACCCTGGTCTCCTGCAAGGTGGACCCTGTCCCATTTCTCTGGGCCCTTAAGGCTCAGGAATATGATCCAACATTTGCTTTGTCCCATCTGAAGTGTAAGCAAAAAGGCGCAGCACAAATTATCCCGTGGTACTGGGACTGACAGCCTCCTGGGAATCAGCTGCAGTGGACTGCATGCATCCAGGTGGATAATTTGAAATGGTTCTGCCCTGGAAGTCTTAAAAGAAGGATCACATTGGCATGAATGATAATATCAGCACATCCTATTTGGAGCTGAAGAACCTGAGGCCAGAAGCAGGTGTTACGCATCACTTCGCCAGACACCTGAGAAATGCTGTTCACCACTGTCCATAAGGCTTCTGGCAATGTGTCAGACCTTCTCACAGCAAAAAGCCAGAGCTCCTGAGATACCTCCCTGCAGCCAGAGCTCCTTGCAGGTTCTGACTGTGGGCAGCCACACAAGCACATACCTTTCCTTAGCTGAACAGGCTGGTTTTCAAAGGCAGGTGTTAAACATCCAGAAGACACAGATTTGCAAATAGATGTGGTTGTTTTGCAAATATTAAGCAAACAAGAACAGTAAAGGTAAAAAAAAACCAATCAAAACCAAAAACCAAACCCAAACTGAACAAGAGAACAAAACAAAGCAAAAACCAGATGAGATGAGGAAGCTTTAGCAACTGAACTGTGAACTTCTGTTGGGGGAGGGTGAAATCTTTCTCAAGTGTCCTTTTCCTTTTCTAACTCCTTGTTCTTATGTCTAGCTCATTTTTCATGGCTAGCTCCACCACAGCCAGCACAGTCCCAAAACCTGCAACTCAGAGCACACATCTGGAGCAGTGGTTTCTACAAGCAGCACTGCCAGATTGCTGAAACTGCTGGTGTTCAAAATGCATGTGCCTGATTACCCTCAGTAGGTTTCTGCATGGTCTTCCGTGGTATCTTGTGGAGGAATATTGTCTTCCCTCAGATCCCAGCTCAGTTTTCAGCCCTGTGCATGCAGTTCTTGTGTACACAGTTCCCACAAGCAAGAACGTTCTCTTTACCTCAAGGAAATCAGGCAAAGACATTTTCCTCCACTACCTTTCAGGGTAGACTCATGTTCCTGAAAGGAATTCTTCCCTCTCGCCTCCCCCTTTCTAAAAGTGTTCTGAAAGCCAGACACCTCCAGAGATATACCTGGTACATAATATATTCCTTCCACGTCATCCCTACAGTTTTGAGGAGAAACAGGAGTGTTTTGTAGCCAGTAGTGCAGAGCTACTGTGCATTCTCAGCGCAGCCCACAGCTTTCCTGACAGCTTTTCTCGAGGTTTGCTTGACCTCTCTGTTCCTCAGGCTGTAGACCACCAGGTTGACCAAGGGTGTGAGGATGGCGTAGAAAAGGAGAAGGTTTTGTTCAGGTTTCTCAGTGGAGGTGTGCCAGGCAGCAAATAGACAGAAGAAGTGTCCCTTAGAAAATGCTGCCCACAGTGATGTGTGAGAAGGCTTTCACTTCTCACGCATGGTGGAGAAGGCCTTCTGCCTCCCCATGCTCAATAGGATCCTCAGGATGGCATCTGTAATGCAGACGTAGGATGCCAGAGTGAACAAAAATGGCAAGACTACATCTAGGGTCGACACTACAGCAGCCTGCTGTCATCACAGGAGAGCTCCAGAGACCAAATGGCAGAAGAGGTCAGTTGGACTGGGGGCACAAAACTCCAGTGGACTTGAGAAGTATGTGATGATTGTGGAACTAGTCATTCCTCCAAGCCAAGAGACAGCTGCCAGCTGGAAAAACACCTTCCAGTTCACCATGTTTGTGTAGAACACGGGGTGACACATGACGGCCAGGTACTGACTTCAGGACACAGTGGCCAGCAGGTAGCACTCGGAGACCACAAGAGATCCGAAGAAGTAGAGCTGAGCCATACAGTCGTGAGCAAAGGTGGTCCTGTCCCCAGTCAGGAAGCTGGCCAGCAGCCCAGGCAGGTTGATGGAAGTGCAGCAGGTCTCCAAGCTGGACAACGAAGATGTTCCCAAGCACAGTCTCTCCACAGGCCATGAGAGAGAGAGGAGGAAGAGAGGCACCTGGAATCAGGGGCTTTCCCGAATCCCAGCAGGAGAAACTCTCAGTGACGTCTGTTTTTCCCATCCTCCTTTCTCCATGCAGTGGTCTTGGTCTTTCTTTTCCCCTCTTGTCAGAAAGGGCATTCCCTACGAGAGAGGGCATGCCTGTGAAAGGAAACGTTACCAGAGAGAACGCGGTGGCTCGCACACATCGGGCTGTAGGTGGGTCCCTTTAGGGGCTCCACGCTTAGCGCAGGAAGAGGAGTGGGTTCTTGGAGAGAGCTCGTCCGAGGAGAAGTCCTTTCCACCTAAGAGATGAGTTGCCCCATGAAGGTACCTATCCCTCCCTCTGGAATAAAAAGGGAATGGGCATTTGCACAGACAAATGTGCCTGAAGTTATTCCCAGTATGTTCTTCACAGGAGTGAAGGACAGAGTTCCTATGGCCGTCAGCAGGAGAAAGACATCGTCGTGCGTAAGGGGAGGCGTCTCAGAGCCACGGTGAGTGAGAGGCGCAGCAGCACGAACGCACTCAGCTCTGCCCGTGGTGGGGCAGTAGCTGACGCTGCCGAACGGCCGCACGAGCGTATCCAGGTCGTTCCTATGTCGCAGGGTG